GCCTCAAGTCCCTCCCTGCCGCCTGCTCTCCCTGCCCCCTCTCTCTCTCTCTCTCTCCCCCTCTCTGCCACCACCCTTCGCTCCTCCTGCTTCCCCTTTCCACCCGCCTCCCCTCGCCCACCATGCTGCAGCCATCAGCCATGCCGCCATGGCCGCCTACGCGTCGGCCACTTCCATTTCTGCCGAGGCCATCATCCTCGGTATTGTTTGCATCCTGATCGGCCTGCTGATGACCTTCGCCGGCTATCGCCTGTACAAGATCGTGCTCTTCGTGGCCGCCTTCCTGCTGGGCTACTGGGTGTGCTACACCATCATGGTCAATGCCAACAACGATTATGGTGACAATGAGGATTGGATCCTCTTCGGCTCCTCGGTCGGCGCGGGCTTGCTCACAGCCATCGTTGTCATGCTGCTGGTTTCCTGCCTGGTCCCCCTGGGTCTCTTTGTCCTCGGTGCCCTTGGTGGCTTCTTCCTGGCCATTTGGATTCTCTCCTTCATCGACCCGAACTCGGCCATCCACGAGGACGAGTGGCGCTGGCTGTTCATCTGTGGCATGATGCTCCTGGTGGGTGTGCTGGCGGCCGTCCTGCGCAAGCCGATCATCGTCACCACCACCGCCATTTCCGGTGCCTTCGTCCTGTTCTACGGTATTGACCAGTTCGCCGAGACCGGCTTCGCCGATCTCGTGGAGAACGTGCTCAACCACGGCCGCGACATCCAGCCCGGCCCGCTCTCGGACGCCGAGATCGCCATGCTCTCGTGCTGCGCGGCCACCGCCGTCCTCGGCATCATTGTCCAGATCGTCACCACTCGCCGTCTCAAGAACCAGGAGCGCAGCAAGCGCAGCGCCTACGAGATGATCAACTAAGCTGCCCACGGTCCCCCTGTCTCCAGAGGCAGCCGGGGGAGGGGGGCGGAGGGGCGGCGGAGCCGAAGAAGGAAGCACCTTCCTCCCCCCCCCCCCCTCCCGTGGGATCGCCCCATTGCCTGCTCCCTCCCCTCACCCGGAGAGTTGGCTCCAGTTGTGTACTCCTCTCCTTCTCCCATATCTCCCTCCTCTCCCCCCCTCCCCTTCACACGTACGCGCATGACGCGCCTTCTCCCTTTCCTCCCTCGTCTCCCCCTCTCATGTGGTGGATTCCCCTCATTTGCAGTAGACCCCCTGGGGTGGGGGGGGGAGGAGGGCCTGCCGGGGCGAAAATTCCCAATGTATAGTTCATATATCCGCCTCTCTCCTGTTCTCCATCGCCCTTGCCTGCGTAGCCCTTCTCCGCCACCGAATCCACCCCAGAGGCGCTTGTGAAAGTGTGTGGCGTGTCGCGAGGTGTGTGTGTGGGGGG